CTTCCAAACCCCTGAAAGTTCCACTTTCCCGTCTGCTTTGAGGCTGCCCTGGATCTGCAGACTCCTCTCGGGATCGAGAGGCCTGGACTACAAGAGTCATCGAGTCTGAAATATCCCAGCCCATATTCCCAAATGCAACCAAGAGAGACCACAGAGCTGATCTCATCTTATTTCTGCCCAGCCCTGTATCAAGTCTGATCACCCATTGTCTAGCCATAATGCAGGCCAACCTCTCAGGATGGTATTTACCAGATTGTACAGTGATTGCTGGAGTTCCAGGTTCCTCTCCACATACTCCTGAGAGGCAAACACCCCTAAGAGTGCTGCCTTCCTGGAGAAACCTGCGGAACCAGGCTGCCAGGTCCCAGTGAGTGTGCTCTCCGAAGACTTTCAGGTCTTCTCCTCTTCAGAGGACAGTGACTGGGATTGAGACACCACATGAAGGCAGACACTCAGCCTCCAGGATCGGGAGACTTTCAGGAGACTGTTCGAAGTGACGAGCTGAAGACAGAGGGATCTGGCTCCGCATCTTAACTAAGATCCTCCCTCAGTTCCAGGAGCTTGTAGAGCTCTATTTCCACAATGTCGTGCACTTCCTCCCTGGCTCTTACAATCTTTCCACCCTCTCTTCAGAAGATGTCCCTGAGCCCTGAGAGGATGAAGTTTAATATAAGGTATCAGTTTGTCTAAGACCCATACAAACTGCAGCAGTGAAACCCCTGCAGAGAACTGGGGAAATGGACACTAGACCCCAGTCTTAGCTGAAGAAATATTGGCACTGATCACTCTTGGGTGAGAAAGACCTGATCTTCCTAAAGTGATGGACTCTGGACAGGCAGACGAGAATGCAGGAGATGCACTTGCCCTGAGGAACAGCTACGGACCCTAACTTGACACAATAGACCTTAACACAAACGAGAGAATGTATGAACTCAGTGGGGTGGGAGGCTATGGGAGGGTACCAGTGGGGAAGGGAATATAGAGATGACTAAGATTGATTGAGATGTTCTGTATGAAATATACAGAAATGCAATAAAAAATTTAAAAGATATTAAAATAGCTTTAAAAAATTTCATCAGTATTCACAAGAAGGCTGAGTCAGTGTCATGATCTCAGTACTTCTCAGACAAAGACAGGACGGTAAGGAGCACAAGGGTAGAGTAGGTACAACACAAGCCTCAAGTCAGCCAAGGCTACCAAGCCTAGGCTCAAAAGCATCAACAAACATAAGATTAGCCACCTGTGCTGGACTTAACATTTAACCCGTTGTTGTCCATTCTGAGGCAGGAGGATTGACCACAGCTTGCTGGCTGTCTAGATAGCAAAATGAATTCCATGGTACCAGAGCTATAAAATGAACCCAGTTTAAAAATTAAAAAAAAATTCTACCAGTGTTCTTAAGTGTAAAGGAGACTTGCACATTCAGCTTTGTGTCTGTCATGAAATGACTCAAAGAGAGAAGCAGTACTCACTGGTCATTTGATTTAACCTGATTGGACAAAGCAACATCTCTCAGATACCACCTGACACACAATGAGAAGATAACAACTGAAACAGAGTCAGAACTGACTCAGGGTGTCCAATCCATGAAGATAAAGCTATAATTCGATCTAAATGATTCTAGAAAATAAAAGATGAGATGAAGTTTATAATATATATTCCTGCACAAGAATAATAAATGTGTGGTGAAAAATTACACAACTTTTGGCATTCCAATGTTTTAAGAAAATATAACCCAGAACATTGCTTTATGTGTGGAGTAGGAAGAGCAGACAGGGATACGGTTGAATTTTGTCCAGGGACTGGAAACAAGACACAACTATGCTTCCTCTGTTGACTTGGTATTGTTTTCCTATTACACAGGAAACACAAACTTAAAAGCCTGGAGGTGGACAGATTTGTTGCCAGAAAATAAGACCTGATTTAGAGGTTAAGCCAAAGACTCAATCAATACAAAAGGTGCCCAGAAGGAACCACACCCACTTAGCCTTGGGCAATCAAGGACTTCCCAATCATTGCCAGTTCCAATGACCCCTGAGTGGACATGGCTTCCGGGAGGACCTAGAAAGTCTGGAACTTTCAGAACATTCAGTGCCCCACCTTCTCCCTTGGAAGCTACTTTCCCAAAGGCCCAGCAGCAGCATCCTTGGGCTCCTGGAGACTCCAGGAAATGAGGGCACTTCCCCCGAGAGAGCTAATGAAATATGGACTCAGGTGGCAGCTGGAAGCTCCGTGTGGCCAAGGAATTCCAGCCGGGGACCTACTGGGTGGTTTCAACTGGCATTGGAGTGGCAGCAGAGCTCAGGCAAGAGCGAGACCCATAATGCTCGTACCTAGGCCATGGGAGTGGCTGGGGGAGGGTAGGCTTAAGTCTCCTGGCCCAACCCAGGTGGGCAGGCTTTTGCGTGTTCTTACGCACCTTAATCCTCTAGAACCCGCCCCGCCCCGCCCCCTCCTGAGTTCTGGAGTCCTGGTTTCAATTCTCTACCCGTTCTCAAGAATCCTTCCATCTTTTCTGTTCGGCAACTCACCACTCGATTTGTCTTGAATTGACTCCCGGGACCCACAAAACAGGCAAGACCGCTCAAATGGGACAGGTCCTATTTTTCCCTCCAAATCAATGGACCAGATTCCTCGGGTGCCTGAAATTGCACGGTCTCCAGGATGGGGAACCTCAAGAGCCTCAAGAGACGTCTAGGGTGGGGTGATGGGCGAACACACCTTTCTGTTTTTGAATATTCGAAGGCCATGTGGCCCAGGCCAGACCTTGGGTTTCTGTGTGGAGATGGAAGAGCACTCGGGGATCCAGCTGGACTCTGTCCCGGGTGGGGAAGGTCCGGAAATAGGACGGGTCTGTGCTTGGTGTGTTTACTTGAAGCTGTTTTCCCACGACAAGCAATGCCCCAACTTCAGGTCCCTAACTGGGGCAGACTTGACTTGATTCCGGGAAGGTGGGAGCAGTCTCAGCCCCGCAGGTGCACAGGATAAACCACACCCACTTGGTCCTGGGCAATCAAGGACTTCCCAGCCATTGGCCCCTCCAGAGGCCCCTGAGTGGGCGTGGCTTCGGGCAGCAGCTATAAAGCCAGGAGCTTCCAGGTTCCCACGTTCTTCTTTGGAAGCTGCTTTCCCAAAGGCACAGCAACAGCATCCTTGGGCCCCTGGAGACTCCAACCGGGAAACTTGGAGGAAGCATCCTGGAGACATGGCAACTGAGGAGCTGCAGTCCGGAGGTGAGTCTCCTTCCAGTGCTTTTGGCAAACCCGGTACCCTCTCCACCCACTAGGCTAGGGCTCGCGCTGAAGCCCCTCGGCCTTCTTGTTCTCCTGCAGCTTCCTGGATCCCGACGTCGGAGACCTCCGCAGACCTGGGCCAGGATCCCACGCCTGTGGCAGCGGAGCTGACTCCCGGCGGCGGCGGCGGGAAACTCCGTCTTGGTTGGCGGAGACCTCATGGTGCGGGCGCTGGGCTGCAGAACGTGGGAAACAGCTGCTACGTGAACGCAGCGCTCCAGTGCCTGACCTACACGCCGCCTCTGGCCCACTGCATGCTGTCGGGAGAGCACTCCCGGAGCTGTGTGCGCCAGGGGGGCTGCATCATGTGTGCCATGGAAGCTCACGTGGCCTGCAGTCTCTGCCTCCCCGGGGAAGCGATCCGGCCCTCACGCAGCCTGACTGCGGCCTTCCACAGGTCCAGGCAGGAAGATGCCCACGAGTTTCTGATGTTCACTCTGAATGCCATGCACGAGTCCTGCCTGAGGGGAAGGGAGGACTCGGGACCTGGGTCCGAGGACAGCACCCCCATCCGTGAGATATTCGGGGGCCACTGGAGATCCCGGATCCGGTGTCTCCACTGCCGAGGGACTTCCGACACCTTCGATCCCTACCTGGACATCGCTCTGGAGATCCAGGCGGCTCGGAGTGTGAACCAAGCCTTGGAGGGTTTGGTGAAGCCAGAGGAGCTGCGCGGGGAGACCGCCTATCACTGCGGCTCCTGTCAGAAGAACGTGCCGGCTTCCAGGACGCTGACCTTCCACACCGCCTCCAAGGTGCTGATGCTGGTGTTGAAGCGCTTCTCGGGCGTCGGCGGGGACAAGGATGACAGGGAGGTGCAGTACCCCGAGGAGCTGGACCTGCGGCCGTACGTGTCTGGCACCCACAGAGGCCCTCTGGTCTACATCCTCTATGCCGTGCTGGTCCATTCCGGTCGGAGCTGCCACGGTGGACACTATTTCTGCTACACCAAGGCCGGGAGCGGCCAGTGGTACAAGATGGACGACGCCACCGTCACCCGCTGCGACCCCGCTTCGGTCCTGGACCCGCGAGCCTACGTGCTGTTTTACGTGCAGCAGAGTCGTCTCCGAGCGGACGGCGTCCCCGGGCCGGTAGGCGTGAGCTCCGGGGCCGAGCCTGAGCGCGAGGCCGGGCCCGGGGACCTGGGTCGGGAGCTCGGAGCCGAGCCCTGCCCGGGAGCCGAAGGACCGCGGGGACCCTGGGAAGAGGAGGCAGAGGAGGAGGAGGCGCTGTCCTTGGACCGGTGGAAAGCGCTCCGGGAGCAGAACCGCCCAAAGTGCGCGCTGCAGCCGCGGAAGGTCGACCACCATCTGCCGGCCCACGTCGTCGTGCTCCACGGCTCAAGGAGCGGAGGAGAAGGTCTGGGGCGAAGCCACCCCGACAAGGAGAATGACCTCTGGACCGGTTCTGCCGCCCTAGGGCCCGGTCCGGCGTCTGCGAGCTCGGGGCGGCTCCCGGGTCAGGGAGGAAGAAGCAGAGCGAAGAAGAAGAAGAAGAACAAGGCGGGCAGGAGGCAGGTGGTCGTCTGCTAGTCCTCTCGGCCACGTGGGCCGCTGGCTCAGGTCCACACCCCGGGAGGCCCGAGACTGCGGTGGGCCTGGCTCTCTTCCCACCGCTCCGCCGGGAGTGAGACGCCAAAGGTCTGGACCCGAGGAGTTGGAGGTTCGAATACCGGTTTCCTCTGTGAGTGGCCCTCGGGCGTCCTTGAGTGAGAGTGATGCACTGTGGGAAGCGGCCGGGATACGCGGTTCCCGAGGTCTCGGCTCCTCTCCTGTGATCTGCACCCCCTCCAAGGGGAGCATCCCGAGGATGACCCCTGAGCTCACTGCAGAGACCCTCTGGAGACCCGTGATGGGGATGGAACCAGACGTGGAGACTGCGAGAACGGACCAGAGAAGTGCTCCCCTTCCGTCTGTGGGCTTGACCCCTGCGACTTTACCTCTGACTGGCCTTTGCCTCTCCCGCCTTCCTAGTTGGTATTACAGATGTGTTCTGTACAAACCGCCCCTTGACTCACAAGGCCCACCACCCCAATACCCTACCTCCGATTCATTGTAGTGGAACCGAAATTCTTTTCATCAAATAAATGTGTGATTTTACCCCCTTTGTTGGTATCTGTTTTGCCCCGAGAACCATGCCTGTGGTCCTCTGAGAGAAAAATTGGATGGACACGTGTAAAAACGACATATTTGGGTATAACGATGAGGAACCTCATCTGGCTTCCTCATCTCCAGAGAGCTTTGGCGGGATGCAGAAGCATGCGGTCTGTACTGGAACTTGAGAAGTTTTGGGTCCTCAGAAAGAGGGACTCGGGGTCGACGGTCTGTGAAGATAGAGCTGCGCTGTCCTTTGAGGGCACCTTGAAGAAAGACAAATCAGCACCCAGCTTACTGTGAATATTCCTGCAGCCAATAGGAAAGAATCCATAGGAGGTGATATTCCCCTCCATCGCTGGTATTTTCATGCCAGCCTTAGATTCGAAGCATTCTTGAAGAAAGACAAATCAGCAGCTAGCTTACTGTGAATATTCCTGTAGCCAATATGAAAGACCCCATGGGACATAATATTCCCCCCATCATTGGTATTTTCATGCCAGCCTTAGTTCTGAAGCCACTCTTTAACCCATTGCATCATAGACAAAAACCCATCAGATTTCAAGTGGCAGATCATATTTACTTAACTTAGAAAGGCTAGGTCCAGTGAGGTCCTACAGACATGTCTCTATTTTTCAGTATTTTATAAGAAGACAACATATAAGAAGACACTGGTTGGGTGTGGTGAGATCACTCTTTGGTTAGAAGCACTGGCTGCTCTTGTAGAGGACTGAGGTTCCCTTTCCAGCACCCACATGGTGGCTTACAACTGTGTGTAACTCCTATGCCTGGAGACTCCTTCCACCTCTTGGAATCAAGTCTGCCCAGTTAGGGATCTGAAGTTGGTGTATTGCTTGTCATTGGAAAACAGCATCAAATAAACTCAGCCAAGCACAGACCTGTCATATTTCTAGACCCACTGGGACAGAGTCCAACTTTCCGTCTTTCTGGGGACCCAACTCTTCTCAAATTCCAGTACAGACCCCATGCTTCTGCATCCCAGCTGAAGGTCTCTGGAAATGAGGAAGCCTGATGAGGTTCCTCATCTTTATGCCCAAATATGTAATTTAAAAAATATCCATCATGCAGGAATGCCAGACAAGCCACTGCCATGTAGGTCTCTGTAAGTCTGTCAGGCTTCCTGAATTCTTCAGGAATGCATTTCTCCTTTTCTTCTTCATGCCTTTCTTACTAAACTTGCTTTCTTTAAGGCTTTGGGCTGCCCCTAGCATCTTGTAGTTCTATGTTCCTTATCCCCCAAGTTATGGGTACTTAATCCAAGGTTATGTATAATAAAATCTAAAATGTTTTTTCCAATCCAGACTGGCAGCCCTCTTCAAAGGAATTCACCATGTGAGTTAACAGTCTTGCCTTAGTTTAAAAGTAAAATATAGGTAAACAATTTGAAACTTTTAGGCTAAAGAAAAGCAAATGTCTTTTTGTATTAATTATATTGGTAAATTGTCATGTGCTGTTTGAGGTCATTGAAGCTGACTCTGGAGATGGGATTGGCCTTCCCACTTCAGACTCAAGCCTATTATCTCAAAATATGTTCTTCAAGACTCTTTTCCAGGCTCAGGCTGGCCCCCTGACCCTGTAACAAGAAAAGGAGAACAACAAAACAGCCTAAGAGTAAAGGCATTGTGCAGTTGAGAACAGCTAAGGTGTAAACTAATCTCCAAAGAGGTTATTATTACTATTTATCTCATGATATTACTGTCTATAGTAAAAGTAGCTAATGAGATTCTCTAATTGGTCAAAATAATAAGTCGCTAACAGACTAATGTAATTTACCTGGGACCTTATAAAGCATAGTGTGTACATGGGTAATATTAACTTATTACATTATCTTATGTATATAATTTAGATTTCATGTTCTTTTAATAAGATGGTACTACACACCACTTTTTTCTGAGTCAAACAACTACCATCTTCATGACTTCAGCTGTGTCCACTAGCAAAAGATCACCACAATTCGACTTGTTGACTTGAGTATCATATTCTTTAATTAAAGAAGGCAGGGTAAACAGGGTCATTGGACACTCACCTGAGTATCCAGCTGCTTTTCCCAGCCAACTGTATGTAATTTGGCCCTAATCACATATGGTCTCCTGGGTTTGGGGAGGACTAAAATATATTATCTGGGGAAGGCTGGAAAGAAAAGGCTTGATCCATGCTGGGTTAAGGCTTTCCAGTGTACAACTCTCAGGTACTCAAATACCTCAGAAACCCCTCAGTCATCTCTGTAACTAAGCTCAATAAACTTATTGGTTCCCCTCAAAAAGCTTTAATGTAATCAAACATTGGTTTGATACTACAACCTAAAAAGGGGATAAACATTGCATAATATCCCTCACAACAGATAAAAATTTATTTGTTAATATTATTGTGTCTCATGGTTATAAAAAAAATAAAAGGTGTTTAAAAAATGTAAAAATGGTGATATTTTATTAAAAAGGTTTTATGTGTTAAAGGTTAAAAATAAAAAAAGCCTAACCAAATGATGGCAGTCTATGCAGGTTTATTAATGATCTATCAAGGATGAGACAAAGATAATATATAAATAATCTTAACATTTTTAAGGTCATACTTTAGTCAATTAGTTTAAGAATGTCTAGTAAAGGTTTATTTAACAGTGTTTGGTTTTTGCCCAAGCTTTATCTACATGACACATGTAATTAAAAGTACTAGATTGGTGTAACTAACCTTCTAGGGTGTTTAAGAGCCAGACTTTGAGGCCTATAGTGACCTGGTCAGAGGGACTTAAAGGGACAATTTTTGTTCCTTGCCCTCCAAGGTCAACTAAGTTCCAGGGGACTATGAAGCATCTCTCGATATGTCCTTTAACTGTGGTGAGTAGCCTGACCTCTTGTTCAGCGAGGCCATGGAGACACCACAAGGTGGACTTGAACCAGTGTCCAGTCTACAAAGAAGAGGGTCAACACAGAGGAAACATTTCCTCCATGCTTCCAAACGAAGCCTGGGTCAAGCAGGACCTTTGACTTATCTTCACATAGACAGAACTGGTAAAAGAAAGCCCAAGGAGCCAGGGACTCCTCCCAAGCCCATGTGACCCCCTGAGGACCAAATCCCCATATGACCTTAAGAGTAAAAATAAATTGGTTTATTTGGGCCAACAATATGCTTTTAAACATCCAAAAGGAAAGTATAACCAAAGATTAAAGTCATCAGTATATTTCATTAAGAGTTCAAGGGATTACACATCCCAGACATTAGACTTGAGATGTTATTTAGGCAATTATCTCTCATTGATGATTTTCTTCCTAATAAGACAATGCTGCTCAGCTGTAAGACTTCAATTCTTGGTTTGCAGTACTGTAGTGCCCACCCACAGCAGAGGGAAACAACCCACTATTTTTCTAAAACAATGGCTAAATTAGTTTTCTCTCCCTATCTAGAGGCTATTTAAAAGGGAGCTGATTCTAGCCACTTCTACAGTTATCAAAGTGCCTGACAACAACTCCTGAGTTCATCAATCATTAGTTCAGCCTTGGCAGGCAAAAGAAAAATGAGGAGGAACCCATTAGATGGATGTTTTTGGAAGCCCTCATCAAAAATTCCAATGGACTTTAATCTGGACATTTGAAATTTGCCCTGTTCTGAATTTTCCTGGTTCCTTGCCTAGAAATTGTCATACTAACTACTCTTTCCTTTACTTCTCCTTCACATTTCCTAGGCCATAGTCAAGGACCTTCTTTTCTACCTATAGTTAAGAGTTATGCAATTTTGGAGTCTTTTAGATAGAGCCACTGGAGGGGTACCCCAATTGCCTCACCCTGTGTCCCTGTTCGGCATGGAAGAAGCCAGGCTGGTCTGCATCCCAATTCCCTATCAGCAATGGCTAAACCTCTTCAGAGGGTGGTGCGATGAGAATAGGAGGTAGAAATTGGCTAGGCAGTTAGGGTAAAAAGACCCCAAAGAAAAGTAGCCAGTTTATTTCTTGGCCAAAAGTCTAAATGTCCTTAGGCCTTTTAGCAACATACTCTGACCAAAGGCCAAAAATGTTAAAAATGTTTAGGAGTTCTTATCCCTAAAAGATTTTAGGGTTACCTTTTCAGACGGGGGAATGTTAGATTATCAATAAGCACCACAAATTAAACTGGTCCAGACTATAAAATTGTCTATCTGTTGGAGGACCTACCTCTCCAGTCTCACTGGTCAATTACCTGGCGATAAAACCACTCCCAGGAAGGCAGGTTCATCTTAAGTTATGCTAAATAGATGGGCAAAATATCTGGTGTGTTAATTAGGTAGTAAATATTTCTGCCTGGAACTAGCTCAGACCCCTGACCCCCCCGCCCCCCCCAGAACTTTCAGACCACCCACAGCCATATAGGCCTCTGTAAGTCTGTCTGCTTTCCTGAGCTCTTCAGGAAACAATTTCTCCTCTTCTTCTTCCTGCCTTTCTTACTAAACCT